ATAGTATCTCGTGGCCTCAAGATAGTATCTCGTGGCCTCAAGATAGTAACTCGTGGCCTCAAGATAGTAACTCGTGGCCTCAAGATAGTAACTCGTGGCCTCAAGATAGTATCTCGTGGCCTCAAGATAGTATCTCGTGGCCTCAAGATAGTAACTCGTGGCCTCAAGATAGTAACTCGTGGCCTCAAGATAGTAACTCGTGGCCTCAAGATAGTATCTCGTGGCCTCAAGATAGTATCTCGTGGCCTCAAGATAGTAACTCGTGGCCTCAAGATAGTAACTCGTGGCCTCAAGATAGTAACTCGTGGCCTCAAGATAGTAACTCGTGGCCTCAAGATAGTATCTCGTGGCCTCAAGATAGTAACTCGTGGCCTCAAGATAGTAACTCGTGGCCTCAAGATAGTATCTCGTGGCCTCAAGATAGTAACTCGTGGCCTCAAGATAGTATCTCGTGGCCTCAAGATAGTAACTCGTGGCTAGGCCACGAGATACTATCTTGAGGCCACGAGTTACTATCTTGAGGCGACGAGATAGTTATAATAAATTTTTTTGACAAAGTGGGACTAGGGGGGCTCCGTACACACACACACACACGCACATTATATATATGTATATAAATCCTTTTTTTTACCATGCTGTTAATTTCCTAAGGTGATTGGCTTAGAATGATAAAAATTGTTCCACTCTTTCCAACACTGTCTATTTAAGTGGTGGTTTGAATGTTGGTTTTAATATAGCAAACATGGAATAAAAAACGAGAAAGACGAGAAAGCCCGACTAACCAGAAGAACCGTGTTTACTGTTAGCCCAGTTAGTGGATGAACACTAGGCCATCATTAAAGGGATACTCCACTTTTTTTGGAAATAGGCTCATTTTACAACTCCCCCAGAGTTAAACTGTTGAGTTTTTACCGTTTTTGAATCCATTCAGCCGATCTCCGGTTCTGGCGGTATCACTTTTAGCATAGCTTAGCATACATCATTGGAGTGGACAAGACCATTAGCATTTCTCAAAAAAAAATGACCAAAGAGTTTCGATATTTTTCCTATTTAAAACTTGACTCTTCTGTAGTTACATCGTGCACTAAGACCGACGGAAAATGAAAAGTTGCGATTTTCTAGACTGATATGGCTAGGAACTATACTCTCATTCCTGCGTAATAATCAAGAAACTTCACTGCCGTACCATGAGAGCAGCAGGCGTAATGATATGACGCAGTGCCTGAAAATAGTTCCGTTGTGTTGACGGAAGGTGGCCTATTTTCAGGCGCTGCGTCATATCATTACGCCTGCTGCACTCATGGTACGGCAGTGAAGTTTCTTGATTATTACGCAGGAATGAGAGTTTAGTTCCTAGCCATACCAGCCTAGAAAATCGCAACTTTACATTTTCCGTCGGTCTTAGTGCACGATGTAACTACAGAAGAGTCAAGTTTTAAATAGGAAAAATATCAAAACTCTTTGGTAATTTTTTTTTTTAGAAATGCTAATGGTCTTGTCCACTTCAATGATGTATGCTAAGCTATGCTAAAAGTGGTACCGCCAGAACCGGAGATCGGCTGAATGGATTCAAAAACGGTAAAACTCAACAGTTTAACTCTGGGGGAGTTGTAAAATGAGCCTATTTCCAAAAAAAGTGGATTATCCCTTTAAAGGAAAATTCGGGCCGGGTGTCACAGCATGGAGCGAGAAGCGGACGTGGGAGCTTATAGCGCAAATGATTAACGGTTCATTGCCCTGCTTGTGCGCACCAGGGAAGCCTGCTATATTCATAACTGCAGTTTTTTTTGAGCCTGCAAGGTGGGAATGTCCAGTGGAAACTAAATGAACTGCGACACAATAAGAGGTTCTGAAAGTGCTGTAATGTTTGTGTGATCACTGCTAACAGACGGTTGTGACAGACCCAAATCACTGCTGCTTTATTGCATTTTCCCATTTACCAAATATCTTAATGTAGTGATTACTTTCATTTCTGGCGTTATGGCATTCCTGCGCTGTCGGAGATATTAGCGTGTCTCTAATAAGATCAGTCACAAACATGATCCCTGCACGATCTCATCTATAGCGTCTTATTAACTCACTGTCATCCATTGTCTGCAACACATTTCTTCTCCCTCTTCATCTTTCTGCCATTTTCTCCTCTGCTAAAGAAACTCTTAAGCCTCTTAAAAGTCCTCATTCGTACTCCTAACAATTTTGACCTTAAGACCTCTTTTAAGGGTTAAGATGCTTTCTGAATTATTTTTTTCTTTACTAGGATTTTTTCTTTAATTTTAAGAGTAAACGCCCACATTTCTAAGAATTTTCTTCGAATTTTGTCACTAGGAGCGACTCTTTGCATTAAGATTCTTTATGAATACGAGCCCTGGAGGATAGGCTGTCAAACAGAGACACACAATGTTCTCTGGTAAATTCTAATGATGTTCTGTTACTTCACTTAAAAGAATACTAACATATGTAGAGATCTACACCTGATTTACTGCTGCTTAACACATGATTTTTTTTCATAGACAAGATATCTTACCAGCTTGGGTGGAACATCTGCCAAAGACATTGTCCACAGAATCATGAGGGAAATAATAACCAATGAGTTGGCCAACAATTTTAATTGGCAAGGGAGAGGACAGAAGAGCCCATTTTCTATACTCTTGCTAGCAAAAGTTGTCATATGTGATGTGTTTTAAAAAACATTCAAACATTCAAAACTTAGACATAACTTTGAAATAGCAAAAGAGGAAACAACCCCTTACAGTCTCACATAATGTGTCATTGAATGAAATACAATGCAAGTCAATGAAAGAATGCCAATTAATCCACGAATCATACAGAACTCTACAAAATACACCTCAAATATGAACTGTCTGCTGACCCTTCCTCTGTTTAATTGTCTTTAATTTCATGCTGACATGACAGTCTTTATTTCTTTTTTTTTAAACAGAAGAATTACCTTCGGTCCCTTGGGGGACCAAACCCAGGTGAAACCTTGCGCATCACATTACATTATTATCAGCCTGACTGCTATGGAAAGTTGGAGTCACGGTAAGAAATATTTCAGGACGCGAGTTTTAGGTGAATGCTTTCAGGCCCAGGTATTTTTAATGGTTGTTTATTTTGAATTCCGGAGTCATTTTGGCTGTTATATTGATACATCAGATAAATCATATGCTGCTATGGAAATATTTAGGCTAGGGGACGTGTTTTGGGTTGGGAGGGGTAACGTGTTTATGAGTGCTGCTGTTTGGACTGAGAGATGCTCATGATGATCATCTACGTTTAATAGATGTTGGTGAATATTGTTTATTTGATTTTGGTGTGGGCATCTTTGATGCTGACTTCTGTGGGTCACTGAATGCCCTACCTGTCTCTTCCCTGCCTGGCTGGTGCGTTTTAGCGCCCTTTCCCTGCGGCGGACTGATGCCTCTGTCCCGCTCTTGTCAGTAGAGCACACATTATAGGCAGTGAAATTGAATACAGACGGAGCAACTTCAGGCTTTAGTCTCTTGGTCTGGCGAACAACTAGTTTACCAAACTCAAAGGTCTTCTCCTCAATGTAATCCTCCTCCAGAAAATGTTCACTGCAAACCCTGGAGTCAGCGCCCATCGGAGGGTACCGGGTACCGGAGGGTAACTCTACAAAATACACCTCAAATATGAACTGTCTGCTGACTGTCCGCCGCCGCCGCAAAATCAATTATTTTGATTGTCCGCCGGTTCCCGCCTCCTTCTTCCCTGAACATTGCTACAGTAAGCAATCGTGTCAGTTTTGTTTTAATTTTCAAAGGTTCAATGTACCTCATGCAAAATCAAATTTTCTTGTGTCATTTTTGACATGGTTTATAGACTGATATTAGTTTTAATAAGGTTTGTAACTTTACAGCGACATCTACTGATGAGTGGCCTAAAATCTAAACTTTTAACTTGGAAAGTATAATTACTAGATGAGTGTAAAAAGTATTTATGCAGTGAATATCATAACATCAGTCTACAAGACATTTGTTTTTGATTTGCAGCTGATGGTGAAGTGAAGACGTTGGTGAAGTTGTTCACAGTTTCATGTTCACCGTACACATTTTCACAGTTTCATGTTCACCGTACACATTTTCATACCTATTGATGTAAATTTTGTTTGATGTTGTTTAAAATATGTTCATATCTCATTTCAGAGATTGAGATCGTTTCTTTAAATGCAAGTTATATTTATTTTTTAACAATATTTAATTCATGGTTAATAAGATTCTTATGTTTTGTGAACAATAAACTATGTAGAAGAAGTGGCTTGTTGACTTATTATTTATGTACAGACATCAGAATGTAGAGGTTAGGAGAACATTCTGGGAACCTTCAGAGAACTTTCTGGGAACCTTGAACTTCCAAGAACGTTCCCTATTGGTTATCCAGGAAAGTTTTCTTAACGTAAATAGAACGTCCCCTTAAGGTTAGGGGAACGTTCCCATAAAGTTCCTGCAACGTGCTTAGGTTAGGGGAATGTTCTATTTACGTTAAGAAAACTTTCCTCGATAACCAATAACCAAAAACTAACATTCCCAGAACGTAAAATTGTTAGCTGGGATTGTGCCACACACAATTAAAAAATGTCGTTCATTGACCTTTTTATTTGCATGTATTGATACTCAAGAAAAATTAGTTTGGAGGAAATGTGAAATATTGTACAATGTATGATTTTTTTTAAAGCATTTTTTTAGATTCAAATTAACTTAATATGTCCACATTTTAATATAAGAAAAAACACTTTTATATGTGTTTCAGTACTGACGTACTGAGTACTATTTTGATTATATTTAGTAGTCTATAATTTTTCACCCTAAAAATTAGGTTTGCTGTTTAGACATAATATCACTCTTTCAATAGTAGTTAATATTTCAAGAAGAATTCAACTCTGAATTCCTCTGACATCTATTTTACTATATATTCTATGCACTTTTGTGATTTTAGCGTGTATTAGGCAGCAGGGCCTTTATTTTGGCATCATGACATCATAAGTGTGCGACCCGCTTGTGCATCTGTTGTGGTTCAGCTGAAGAAAGGTTTGTGTTTTAAAACATTTAGAGTATTTAAATCGATAAAAAAAAAGTTATAACAAATGCTTTATCTTACATTAATGGACGTTATTTTTGTCAGTAAAGCGCATTCACACATGAGTAACAGAAGAGGTGCGTCTCATTTCGCTCCCAATATCGTGAATCCGTTTATTGTAAACACTAATTCGGTCACTGGCAAGCAGTGATGGAGAAACGGAGCTTGTAGAAACAATTGAATCAAATTTCGCAAAATGATTCAGTGATTCGAATCACAGCACACAGTCAAAACAACGTGAACACAAACATGTGTGATTACAACTTTACCAAACCAAATGCAATGTTTTTAGGAAAATGGTATATATCAAGTATAATGTATAATGTACATATCCATTAAAATCAAAGCACAAATTAATGAACACGAGGTGTTGGTTTAATTTGTTATTTATTCATTTGTATTGCTAATTTTGAGTGGGGTTTTTTTTGTTCGTTTTTGTTTTTTGGTTGTTCAGGTAATTAAAGGCCATTAACTCTCACTCTGACTGACTCTTACCAGTGCACTGAACTACTGAACTAGAGCTGATTGAGACACACACAGATTTAGTGTGGATTATTTTTCTTTCTGTTAATTATTCTAATCTTAAATATGTCAAACTGTTCAAACACACAGAAAAACTCCTGGTGAAGCAACTGGGATCTATGTGAAGATACTGAAGAACAAACAAAGATGGCGTTTATTAAAGAGGAGAGTAAAGAAATGATGGTTGAAGAAGCGATCAGTGTGAAACAAGAAGATGCTGAGACACAAACAGGTTGGTTTTTTCTCAAAGCTGAACTCAAGTCATTTGATCTTTATTAAAAGGTCATATATGGGTGATTCTCCTACTAGGAGCACTTTTGGCACTGTGAGCTTTTGGAAAATTCACTCTCTTAAAACAATCTTCCTGGCTTCATTAATTTGTCTTCTAACACAATATAACAGTGGGCAGTTTTAGAATTCCATGGATTATTATTATTTTAAACAGTTTTTCTGAGAAGCGCTTTCAAAGATGTCATTTCCCCCACTTTTCCGGCGACGGGTGACGGGTGGCGGGTTGACTAGCTTTCGTGAGGCACACTCGCAAGGTCTCTCGCTCTCTCCCTCTCTGCCGTCCTCGCGCTATGTATGTTATGCGCGCAGTATGTTTTGTCTCGCATGCGCACTCTAGATTCCGGGAGATTTGAACTAATTTTCGGGCATCAGGGAGATGCTATCAATATGCGGGAGACTCCCGGGAGACTTGGGATGTCTGCAATTGCCATAGGCAATTTGATGAAGTGGTGGGGGAAGTGATGTATGCCGTAAAGCAGTCGAATTTTGTAGTTCTTTTTTTGCACGGGTTCCTACCCGAAACCCGAAGTTACATAGTGCCAGTAAAAGCGATACAGACCACGTCAGGCTATGGCAGACGTGTCATTTAACTTATTTTAAGTCGATGTACCATCACAAGGGTCTTGGAAATATATTATGAAGGTTGAAAAACTACTTAGTGTTACTTTAAATTGGATTGTTTGAGTTAATGTGTGTCAAATGGACTCAACTCATTGCAATTTTCTAACCTATCAAATGACTGGAGCAGTTACTTATCAACTATCTGGCAAATTTCCTGCCAGGCAGTAGCATTGATTTGAACATGGCGTTTAGTTACTGGCGTATAGGAATGAGACCAAGAACATTGTCTGGTTCGTACCAGATTACGTCATCACGCATCGGCCAGAAGAACCGATTACTGCCTATACCACTCATTGTTTTAACTAGAACACAGCTGTCAGTTGCATCCACCTCCTGGATGATGCCTGGAAATGCATCTCCATCATATATGTCGACACACCAGTTTCCAGTCAGCCCGTCATTGACTTCTTCAATGCGCTGCAGCACATTGGTGGATGTGTTGTGCTGTGCTGTGCTGGTGGGCCTTGTGTGAGGGGGCAACCGATCCTTCCTTCTGGAAGCTCACAACTTGCGGATCAAAGCAGCTGCAGCTGATCTTCCACTGTTTTCTTTTTCTTTCCTTCTCCTTACTGGAGACTTCTAAGATTGGTTTCACTATTCCTCTTTCTTTTTTCCTGCGATATCTTTCCCTGTCTTTTTCTAATTTTTGTTGATATTTAACTGGATCATCTTTTATTCTGTCCCTGTATTCCTGTGACTTCTTGGCCACGACTTCGGCTTCTTAAATATTAATATAGATAAATAAAAATAATAAATAAAAATATATGTAGGTTGTACTGGAATGGTGATATATAAAGTTCTTAGTCCAAAAGCACAAATATGTCATGAGAACACACCAATAGCACACAAAAACGGCATATATATAATGTCCAAAGCTACGCCTGTAATTTCTCAGAGGTGGAAATGACATTTTAGCAGTTTTTCTGCAATATTAGCACACCCTCATGCCATGCTTAGTTACTTTTGGACTTAGCATGTTGTTTACTCATAATAAACATAAATACATTATTTTAATATTTGTTGTACATAATTCAACCGAACTACAGCCAAGATGGAAATGACGCTGAATAAAAATACTCTGTATAAAAGCTTGAGTAACCTTAATTTATTTTCTTGTGCTGAAGAGCACATGTGCCTGAAGTTTCATCTTCAACTAATACATCCTTTCTCTAATATTTCCATGGTTACCAAGTAAATAAAATATTTAAGGTGGATGAATTGGGGTGGCTTTTGTTGAGGGACACAGAGTGCACACAGTAAGATATTTAGGGGCACAATGGAAATTTACAACAAAAAAAAGTTTTTACTTGATAAAGGGATATGAGGAGACATTTATAATCAAAATTATTCAATTGATTTGAATGCAAAAAGTATCAAGGCAATTCCAGCGTTATGGATGTGACATTTGCAGTCGAAACTTGAAACATAAATTCTCAGAAAATGCATTTAATACCAATATATTCAAACGTCTGTTTATATATCCATATTTACACCAGAGGGTTTTCACGACGCGTCATCAATCCAGAAGTCGGACATTTTGGAGGCACTTGAACGTAAACAACGCCACTGAACTGAACGGACTCGCAAATTTGGCTGATTATTGCTGCTGAAAAATGGTCGAGTTTTGGTCTGTACTAATCGGTCGCATCGGGAGAAAACATTTCTCGAGTTCTAGACTGCTAAAAGTTAAAGAGAAGAGTGCAAAAAACTGATGAAAGGAGGCGTTTGTGGTTGAGAGAGGCACAGCATCAGCTCATCAACCACATGTGTAAATGAAGCGTTGATATGGCTAAAATGTTGACAGAGTTAACTATGGCTACATTCACACTGTCAGTCCAAATCTGATTATCTTTGTATCCGATTGTAATCTGATCTAAAATGATGTCCACACTGTGTATCGCAACTGTTCAGATCCGAGCTATGTGTCCATACAGCTCTTGGGGAATATGACACTGACATTGCGTTGATGGAGGGGTTTGCATTTGCAATAGAGATGTTGTCTTATTTCAATTTTACAACATGGAAATGTGTAGCCGCCGCGCTGGACTATACTGCGTATTGAGCCTGCAGAACTGTAGGAGGCTGTTATGTACAGCTTTTTTTCCACGCCGGTTTCAAAATATGTTTCAGAAATAATAATTTTCTGCTTGTCCGGCACTTTGCAACAACACAGCCTTGTTTCGGCAGCGACTTGCAGCATGTTTTCCCTAACAATGTCTGACGTTTACATTTTACGTGGCGTGAGAGTCACATACCACCCGAAATCCGATCGTTCAGACTGAAGCCAATGTCCTGATATGTGAATAGGATTTCAAACCACATATGGGGGCTGTTTACACCTAGCCACTTCATGCGTTTTCTCAGATCGGATAGCTATCTGATTTATCAAAACGATTCCATTTACACCTGGTCACATAAATGTGTTTTTGCAAAACGGATATAAATCCGATCTTCAATTCCCGCGCTATATGCAGATTTAATGAAGTGCACGTCACCGAAAGCAACAGATATGAGCTGCATTCTATTGATCATCAGCTAATTTCAAAATCAAAGACCGCAATAAGAGAGAGCAGCAACAGCCCTGGTAAGATCATTTCGTTTCTTTACTTTTAATGAAGATGATTGTGTGTGTTAAGCGTCTGCGACTTACTTTCACTTTGATTTGCGATAGTTTGCGGCGCGTTGGCTTGATGAATAGATGCTCAGCTGCTCATCTGAGGTGATGCGTGTTGCAGTAGTGTCGTCATATCTGACTATAACATGACATATAGCTTATATAACACGCTCTCACACGTTTATTTTTTAGCATTTTTGGGAGAAGTAAAATTTACATATGTGGTTTCAACAACCAAATGCATTTACACTTGTCCAGTTTCATCTGGAATGCGGCCCAGACCTCCTCCTGAAGTGGTTTGAGCGATCGGATTCAAATCCGTTTCGGAGGCCATTTACACCTGGTCTTTTAACGATCGGATAGCTATCCGATCACAAAAAACGCATGAAGTGGCCAGGTGTAAACAGCCCCATGGATGTAGCTTGAAAAGGATTTCATGTGCTTTTTTTGGACTGACAATCTGAACGTAGCCTATGTCGGGATAAGAAATTGAAGGAAGAATTTCAGTATGGGCTAGAGAAGCTAACGTTAGCTCGTTCGGATCTTTACCACATATTAACTTTAGTTCGTCAAAGTCCTTCTCTATATGATTTTGCACCTACCACGTGTTTTTTTCCGTGGTTTTTTAGTGTAACAATGTGTTCAGTGGTACATAAACAGTGCAATCCATGCTGTTGTTTACATCCGAGTGCCTCCATAATGGCCGCGTATCCGGGTTACCGCCCAGAACCCGGATACGCGTTGGTGAAAACCCTCAGTTGGTGAAAACCCTCTATAAAGTAGTCTAGACATTAGGAAAATATCAGTCTACACATGTGTTTTATATTTTAGATGAGGGAAATGCACATTCATTATGGACGTGACAAAAAAATCTGGAACATATTTTTTAGGAATTCTGTGAATTACACTGCGCAAACCAAAAGTAATACTACCCACCGAATGCAGAAGGGTTGGATCTCCACAGAACATAAAATATTAATTTTAGTTTATTTTTCCTGTTCACTTTTATGAGGGAAAAACTATGTTATGGACGTGACCGCTCTGAAAGCGGCACTAAACGACTACTTTAACATTTTCAGAGATCTCAAGTAGGCATTTAAAACACCAAATATTAAGGATTGGCATTTCAAGCAAAAATAATATTAGATGATTATTCGAAAATCACACCCCTCCCCCACATGCTCAGCGGTAAAACAGCTTTCGCTCAAATCCCGCTCCGACATTAACTTTCTCTGCACTGTAGGACAACTATACGCATTGTAGCCATTAAAGAAAGCACATTTAGTTTCATATTTATGTTTAAATAATATAATGTTAATTTTTTATTTCAGCTATGTTGTATGAAAAGTGAACTGCATGGAGAGGGTCATACATGTTTTTAACCACTTTATTAAGTTTTGTTTTGTAGAAAGCCTTTCTTTAAAGTGAATTTTGCTTTGTATAAATTGCATCTGAATTTTGATAAATGTTTCATAAACCAATTGTCTAGATTTAATAAATAAGAAGCAAATATAGCAGACAACATAATCAGGACATGGAGGCACTGGTGCGATCTCTTGTTCGTCTCATAAATGAACCACATTGAGTCCACATTCAATTATCCAGCAAGTTAAACTCCATCACACAATAATCCTCGGAACCACAAAGTGACGTTGAGAACACTTTACTGTTTGAATGGTGTGAAACTGAAAATGCAAATACATAAATTATTAAATTATATCGTCGCTGTCCGATGAAAACCACGTATGTCCATTTTGCCGATTTTGAGATTTTTCGACGGATAGAATGTCCAGGTTCATTTCCGTATACAGCATGCTTCACATTATCTAAATGACCAATGAAAAGTTGTGAAATCATGTCATCTGATTTTCACGTATATCCATTTGGTGTCAAAGCAGTAAATCACGCTAAAACTCGATTTTAAACTCGATTTTGGTCAAATGTGGATTATATCATTACACTGGCAAGAATATGGTTACATTTAAAGTTGTCTTATCAAGTATGACAACGCTACGTTCAACTGCTTTTGAAATTACGTGTTTTTTTCACTTCCTGAAAAGTAACTGTTTTGGACATACGTGAGTTTCATCGGGCAGCGACGATATGCACATATACATGTGAACATAACATCCTTGATAGTGTTTTTGCTTGTCAAAGAAATTAAGCAATGTCACATAAAAACATAAAAAAGCATGCTGTTCCAAACAATATAAAACATCAACTATCAGTATACAAAATGCATTCAACTCTATAACAAAATCAGAAAACTCACAAAGATTGTCAACAACTCCAAACAGAAGATGTCCACTTTTTTAATTAAGAAGCCCACGACATGTCCAACCTCATGTGGTCTCTGACTCACAGACTGATTCAATTTGAATATAATGACATCACAGTCCCACATTAATGAAGTCACACTCTCCAATCTTTACACTATACCTTCCATAGCCATGAGAGGTCATACAACTGGCAGGGCCAGGACAGTCTTTGTCTCAGTTTCTATCATACTCCATAATGACATTGGTGTACCTTGAAAAACATGGCCGTCATTTCAATTACAAAATGACAAAAAAGATCCAAAGCTGTAACTGCAATGGTTTTGCATATTGCTATATGTAATGAATGCATTTGCATATCATTATGAAACTCAGTACTCAGTACAGCGTTTCTTCGGAACCATGACCTGAAGGTACTCAAAAGGTTTTAGTGCAGAGCCCCTTGTGGTTAAAAATTGTAATGAAATTATTTTATAAGCAATTATATCTCATTACTGTACCTACACACCGCCGCCGACTTCAGCTGCAAAGAAGCTCTGGCCGCCCTATCAAGGACGCTTGTCAAAAAGTACAGGGAAGCTTGTTGACGCTTTGGCCGCTCTGACATAGCAGGGAGAAGAGAAGTGTCACAACATGAAATGTAAACAGAAAAAACAAGCAATACATTGACACTAATATACCCTCAACTGTTGTCAAGGCAACACTCCACGTGCGTTGTATCAAAACGCTAGTAGAACAGAGGGATGGAGTGAGCGAAGCTCATTATCATTTAAAGGCACTGAAACGGCGTGCTGAAAACAGAGCTGTTTTTGACCAGGTAAAATTAGTGTTTTCTTACAATACTAATGAGAATTTTTAATAAAAGTATATTACAAAGTTTTCATTTAGACCCTAAACATTCATATTAACTTGTACAAAAATGGCATTATATGACCCCTTTAAAGTGAAAGCGGTCAGATAGACAGGACCTAAACCATACTATTGCTTGTCCACAAATGCCAACATAAATATGAAGCTATCCAACAGAATCTAGTGATCCATGTTGTCGTAAGATCTAATAGCAAAAGAAGAGAGATGTAGCCACAATCAGATGCCAAAAGCAGGTAATTTTAACTTCTTCTAATGTCCCACCATTATAGAAATGATTTTACAGAGATTGGAGCTATTCTGGATAGTAACAGGGCTCTCAAGTCTCACGCATTCACCGTGAGACACATGCATTTCATCCAGTTCAACCTTGTATTTTTCACGCTGAGAAGTAAGGGATAACTTGTCCCGCTATACAACTAATGGACGAGGCGCAGACAAACGGAGGGAAGTTCGCTGCGTTAAATGCCACCTACCAGCCAATAAGAAATTAGAATTTGTTGTTTTCGGGTAAATTATTTGTTCCCGCTGCAAGCACGTTCGTTACTAGGCAACACGCACACACAGAGTGGGAGTTGGAAGAGCAAGATCTGATGAATGCGGTAGGTTACTCCATTATTATTTTTTTAGCATTTTGATTTTACGATTCCTGGAAGAAATATCTTGCTTGTGATTAAAGACAGTGAGAGCTGATGTTGAGGAATATAGCCAAATTATTTTTGATGCAGTCATTCTCTCCAACTGCTTTTAAAAGGGTCATCGGATGCAAAATTCACTTTTATATGATGTTTGAATATAAATCTGTCTTTGCAGTTTGTGGACACAACCACCATACAATGAAAAAAAATCCATTCACTCCATCATGACTGAAAATGGGTGGCCTTGAGCCATCAAAATGTGCAACAAACACTTACAACACAAAACACTATTCATAAGATAAATGTGTACACACACACACACACACACACACACACACACACACACACACACACAACTTGACATACATGCTCAGGGCAAGGTGTTATGACTGAGTTTATTTTGTAACTTTGTATTTTTGAAATATATAAAACTATTTATTTTATTTGGATGAATTGGTCTTTTATCAGATTTACCAATTGTTATAATTTCCATATGTGCTGGTCAATTATTAACAATAGCCAAATTGAACTGCTAGCAAAAATTCGAGAGAATTTGGTGGGGCCGAGGGGCCGCTGCTGCAAATATTTGGGTGGCTTCTCCCCTAACAGATCTCACTCCAAACTTTTGATAAAACTTGAAAGCCATGTAGTAACTATTCAGACTTGATCACTGATGGGTTTAAATGATGAAGCATTATTCAATGTGATGTTATAAAACAATGGTATTTGTATTTTCAATGTAATTGTTTATGTAAAATGACATCTTTCTATGTGGTGATTTTCATGTTATCACTGTGAAGCTGCTTTGATACAATCTGTATTGTAAAAAGCACTATATAAATAAAGGTGACTTGATGTTATAGATATGATAAACTCTTGTCATTGATTGTTATTGGTGGTGATGTGTCACGATGGGGGTCAAAAACGCAGTGATTGGATTCTTTTGTAATAGTCATTTTTTGTATGCCTGATGAAAATCATGGGACCAAACTGTGCGCTTAATAGACTATTAGTGTGCAGGATTTTCTTATTTTAAGATAAGAGTTTTGATAATGTCCCGCTTCAGAGTTTTAACCAGAGTGATATGTTAACCAGAGGTTCTGAGATCACAGGTAACACCACTTTAAATAGCGTACATGATAATTTTGATGCTTAAAATGTCAAAATCTTCATATCTGTTGCTTTGTGTTAACTTGTATTTCTTTTTGTTTTAGACCTGATGCAGCTGAAAGAAGAGAGTGAAGAACTTAATGAACTGAAAGAGCAATATCAGTATGTGAAACATCATGATTTCACAACTGGAGAAAAATCTTGTAGTTTCTCACAGACCAAAAAGGCCTCCTCACGAAAAAGACCTCAAAAAACAGTTGCTAGAAGTCATTTCACCTGCCCACAGTGTGAAATTGTTTTTGATAAACTCGGAAACCTTAAAGTCCACATGAGAATTCACACTGGAGAAAAGCCTTTCACCTGCCAACAATGTGGAAAAGGTTTTACTCAAAAAGGAAGCCTTAAAAACCACATAAGACTTCACACTGGAGAGAAGCCGTACACATGCCCTCAGTGTGAAAAAAGTTTTACCCATAAAGAAAGCCTTAAAAATCACTTGAGAATTCACACTGGAGAGGACCCTTTCACCTGCCAACAGTGTGGAAAAAGTTTCACTCAAAAAGGCAGCCTTAAAATCCACATAAGAGTTCATACTGGAGAGAAGCCTTACACATGCAAACTGTGTGGAAAGACTTTTACCAATAAAAAAACCCTTGATTCCCACATAAGACTTCACACTGGAGAAAAGCCTTTCTCGTGCCAACAATGTGGAAAAAGTTTCACTCAAAAAGGAGGCCTTAAAAGCCACATAAGACTTCACACTGGAGAGAAGCCTTACACGTGCTCTCAGTGTGGAAAAAGTTTCACCCATAAAGAAAGCCTTAAAAATCACATGAGAATTCACAATGGAGAGGACCCTTTTACCTGCCAACAATGTGGAAAAAGTTTCACCTATAAAGCCAGCCTTAAAAGCCACATAAGAGTTCACACTGGAGAGAAGCCTTACACCTGCAAATTGTGTGGAAAGACTTTTACAAATAAAAAAAACCTTGATTCCCACATGAGAATTCACACGGGAGAGAGGCCTTTCACATGCAAACTGTGTGGAAAAGGTTTCACTCAAAAAGGAAGCCTTAAAAACCACATAAGACTTCACACTGGAGAGAAGCCTTACACATGCAAACTGTGTGGAAAGAGTTTTACACATAAATCAAACATTGATTGCCACATGAGAGTTCACACTCGAGAGAAGCCTCACCTGAAACTGTGTCGGAAGAGCTTCTCACAAAAAGGAAATCTTATGACATGAAATCATATCACATGAAAATTCACACTGGAGAACACACGTTTGCATGTGTTCAGTGTGGATAGAGTTTCAGTTGTATAGTTAACCTTAACTGCCATGTGAAGATTCACTCGAGAGAACTGTTGTAAATGTCATCAAAGTTTCAAAGATTGGAATCACCTTAAAAATCATGTAATAACTCAAACTGGAGAGAAGTATTTCATCTGCCCTCAATGTGGAAAGAGTTTCACACTTAAAGGAAACCTTTTAAATATGCATCTGTGGAATTAAGGCAATGTTCACACTGCCACTGAATGTGGGCCAAATCTGATCATCCGTGTTCTGTACCACTACTCTTATTTGCATTCCTATGTTCTTTATACTTTGATTTTAACCTTTTTGTTTTCTTCTCAAGTATATAAACTCCTGTATCGAGATTTAACCATCTTCTTTCCTACATTTTTTAATATTTATCAGTTGCAGTAGACACCTTCTAATTTCAGTAGTATTGAGCCGTCCCTCCATTCTGTATATTGACAACTCAAAATCAACATATTAGTTGGTATTAGTAACTTCTGTTTTGCTATGAAATACCACAATATGAATGAAAGATTGCACATAAAAGGATAAACTAAAGATTAATTAAATAATGCAGGGCAATGATTCAACCAAATCTGGTAATAGGATAATAGGCCTATTTAAAAAAAGTTAGGGTAAAGTTGTATAATTGTTTTGTTCTAAAAGTTTGTTCTATTCTGTTTCATTTTTTTTTATTACATATTCAGTCTCATTCTTGTTGAAATAATGATTTTCATACAAGACCCTTTGCTGTGTTTTTAATAAACAGATAAACTACAAACAGAGATATATAATAGTTCACTGTTCGATGAAATAAAAGTATATATTTACTATGTATACTATAAATTGTATATGATCATTTGTTTAAATAACATTAACCACATTTTATTTTTTATTTTTATTTAATAATAAAATTATTACTTTATAACATGCAGTTTCAACTCCACCAAATCTTTGTTTGTTTCATTTTTGTACAGCAAATGTCAATAGCTCTTCTTTTGATTTTTCATGTTTGTTTTAGGCTTATTTGGAAATTGCCATAGTTGTAGTATTTCATCCTTACTGTTAATTGAGTTAACTTGCGTTTCAAAATCCGGCAATTGCTGCTGTTTTGCACCGTTTTCACGGTACAGTGTAATGAGGCATGTTGCATGTTTGTATTGTCTATACTCAGTGTATATTTTATGTGGTTTGTTGTAAGTGTGTGTCGCAGTGACTGTAGCCCAAGACAAATTTCCCCTCTGGGGGACATTAAAGTATATTTTATCTTATTTTATCTTTAAATGTCCCTTTGCGCCACCTGGCGGTCATTTCGCGAACGACTTTGAAATACGACTGGTTTATTTTTGCTGCGCCGGCTAGCGTGGCGGTTATAGGCATTCTGGTTGACTACCTACTGTAGATATAGATAGTGTCACGGACTGAGCCGTGACGTGCTCACGCAGCGTGCAGCCAGCCAAACGCCGGCGCTAACATTCAAGCTGTCCTGCCGCTATTCTCCGTGTCTTATCACTGTCATTGCCGTTTGCTCTGTTCTATTCCACAGTTTACCATAAATGCCAGCTAGCATGCAATGTTGTTTAAGGTGCAGGGAAAGGCCTACCGGCATTCTAAAGTAGCAAATATTTGTGCATGACTCCAAGCATATATTACGCAAACTATACATTTGGTATGTGTTTGTATGTTTGTTGGTGGCTTGTTTGGTTTATTATTTGGTTATTTTTGTGTGATTACATGGTTAATTGTTTTGTTAGCAATGGAGCAATCTAGTGGGTGGGGCTACAGCTAGTTTAAAGGCTGTATTAGGCCCCATGGCCTGAGTTGCAGGGTGCTGTGCATAGAGAAAACTGTGACATAGTATTGATGGTTGGTAAAGTGTGCAGGGTCTTGAGAGACGTAGCCTGGCAACTTAATGTCTATTTATTTTCTTTTTGAACAGTTTTCGGTTTGCATTTTTGACTATCCTGACACTGTAAATATTTGCACGTATTTGGGAAAAAAATATATGTGAAAAAAAAAATAAACAATAGACTTTTTTTAGGGAAGATATGCATCTTCCCTGACTCCGCCATCGGTTATCTTGCCACAGATAGAACAAAGACTTTTCAGTGAAAGCCTAACCAACACATTATATGTACATCATTGCAAACCTTGTTATTTTTATAGGGTCAGTCCCTGCAGCCCATTGATGAGTTCTTCCTCTTCATGGTCCACCTCTCAGTTGGCCAAACACAGCGGGATCTGTCCCACAGTTTCAACATTCACCAGTCTACAGTTAGCCGAATTATTACAACCTGGGCCAATTTTTTTGTACACCGTTCTTGGCTCTGTCCGCATATGGATGTCTGAGGAGGCAGTCAAGGCTCATCTACCCAATGAGTTCCAGGACTACCCAGACACACAAGTGGTGATCAACTGCACGGAACTGCGTTGCCAAACTCCATCCTCTCTCCTGCTTCAAAGTGAAGTCTTCTCCAATTACAAGTCCCACTGCACCTTCAAGCGGTTACTCGGCATGGCACCACATGGTGTGGTCACTGTCGGTACACGATCCGTTTCACGCATGCGCGTAATTACGTAGTAGAAAACGTCACGGTTTTCCTACACTATCGGTACCACGCATGCGTGGATGAAACACTTGACGGCCAGGCGGCACAACTTGCAGCATACCGGTATTTGTGTAACATAGACATCATATGTTTGTGTAACATTAGTTGTATTGTTTAACATTTCACAGCGGGTCTATTTTGATGCTTTTAAATGTAGCTTACGCTATGCATTACGATGTGTTTACGTGGTTGCCAATCCAAAATAATAAAGGAGTTGTGAGTTATGAACATACATGATCAGTTTCCTCCATACTCTCCTTTGCGATTCATTGCTGTACTCATTCATTGCTTAACTGACTTAACTTGCCGTGTTTTGGTCTGAGTTCAGAATTGTCAGATGGTTTGTGTCGTTTTTTTTTATGAAAATTAAATTATGAAATTAAATAAATTATTAATTTATAATCGGCTATTAGTTAACTTTTAAGTTGAGTAATTTTGTATTAGTATGGGTCTATATAGGCTAATATATATCTATATAATCTAAATGAGGAAAATAATCCCTTCAATGTTGTTTACAAAGACAATAAAGGAACATAATATGCATTTCTGCCTAGACTATCTGCGCTTACATGAAGAAAGAACTACAAACAAGTCTGGGGAAACGTTATAGAGTATTTCAAACTGACAATGGAAATGACTTGAAAGAAGCATGTGTACACACAGAAGTGACATGGGACCAGTGGTGGACAGTAGTAAAGTACACTTTGAGTCTCTTTATTTATCTTTATAAAAACACTCTCACACACGCTGTAACAGCTCTCAGTCCACTTCAGACGAACACTCTTTCCGCTGTAACAGCTCTGTCACTTCAGATGAACACTCTTTCCGCTGTAACAGCTCTCAGTCACTTCAGACGAACACTCTTTCCGCTGTAACAGCTCTCAGTCCACTTCAGACAAACACTCTTTCCACTGTAACAGCTCTCAGTCCACTTCAGACGAACACTCTTTCCGCTGTAACAGCTCTCAGTCCACTTCAGACAAACACTCTTTCCGCTGTAACAGCTCTCAGTCCACTTCAGACAAACACTCTTTCCGCTGTAACAGCTCTGTCACTTCAGATGAACACTCTTTCCGCTGTAACAGCTCTCAGTCCACTTCAGACGAACACTCTTTCCGCTGTAACAGCTCTCAGTCCACTTCAGACAAACACTCTTTCCACTGTAACAGCTCTCAGTCCACTTCAGACGAACACTCTTTCCGCTGTAACAGCTCTCAGTCACTTCAGACGAACACTCTTTCCGCTGTAACAGCTCTCAGTCCACTTCAGACAAACACTCTTTCCGCTGTAACAGCTCTGTCACTTCAGATGAACACTCTTTCCGCTGTAACAGCTCTCAGTCACTTCAGACGAACACTCTTTCCGCTGTAACAGCTCTCAGTCCACTTCAGACGAACACTCTTTCCGCTGTAACAGCTCTGTCACTTCAGATGAACACTCTTTCCGCTGTAACAGCTCTCAGTCCACTTCAGACGAACACTCTTTCCACTGTAACAGCTCTCAGTCACTTCAGACGAACACTCTTTCCGCTGTAACAGCTCTGTCACTTCAGACGAACACTCTTTCCGCTGTAACAGCTCTCAGTCACTTCAGACGAACACTCTTTCCGCTGTAACGGCTCTCAGTCCACTTCAGACGAACACTCTTTCCGCTGTAACGGCTCTCAGTCCACTTCAGACGAACACTCTTTCCGCTGTAACAGCTCTGTCACTTCAGATGAACACTCTTTCCGCTGTAACAGCTCTCAGTCCACTTCAGACGAACACTCTTTCCGCTGTAACAGCTCTCAGTCACTTCAGACGAACACTCTTTCCGCTGTAACAGCTCTCAGTCCACTTCAGACGAACAATCTTTCCGCTGTAACAGCTCTGTCACTTCAGATGAACACTCTTTCCGCTGTAACAGCTCTCAGTCCACTTCAGACGAACACTCTTTCCGCTGTAACAGCTCTCAGTCCACTTCAGACGAACACTCTTTCCGCTGTAACGGCTCTCAGTCCACTTCAGACGAACACTCTTTCCGCTGTAACAGCTCTCAGTCCACTTCAGACGAACACTCTTTCCGCTGTAACGGCTCTCAGTCACTTCAGACGAACACTCTTTCCGGTTGAACAGCTCTCAGTCCACTTCAGACGAACACTCTTTCCGCTGTAACAGCTCTCAGTCCACTTCAGACAAACACTCTTTCCGCTGTAACAGCTCTGTCACTTCAGACGAACACTCTTTCCGCTGTAACAGCTCTGTCACTTCAGACGAACACTCTTTCCGCTGTAACAGCTCTCAGTCACTTCAGACGAACACTCTTTCCGCTGTAACAGCTCTGTCACTTCAGACGAAC